CTCTTTCTGCATCTCATAATGCTGCATGAGAAGGGTTGTGTGTCCATTGAGAAAAAGGGTTGCTCTACTCATTTCCCAGCTAGGTGTTCCCCCGAAGATATCCAGTCCACAAACGCACTGGGATTATTTGATTAAACAATATACAAAACCACCCGTAATTTTGAAGCATTACTATGCATCTGGTTAACACAGCGGTGCCCTTTTCTGTCAAACAACTTTGGCGCTTCTCAGGGCAGGTTGTGGATTTATTAATCATAGAATCACGGACTCATAGAATCATAGAATGGTTTGGGTTGGAAGGGACCTCAAAGATCATCGAGTTCCAACCCCCCTGCCCTGGGCAGGGACACCTCCCACCAGACCAGGTTGCTCAAGGCCCCATCCAGCCTGGCCTTGAACCCCTCCAGGGATGGGGCAGCCACAGCTTCCCTGGGCAACCTGTTCCAGTGTCTCACCACCCTCAGAGTAAAAAACTTCTTCCTGAGATCTAATCTGAATCTTTTTTCTTCCAATTTAAAACCATTTCCCCTTGTCCTATCATTACACTTCCTGTCAAAGAGTCCCTCCCCAGCTCTTCTATAGGCTCCCTTCAGGTATTGAAAGGTCGCTATTAGGTCTCCCCGGAGCCTTCTCTTCTCCAGGCTGAACAATCCCAGCTCCCTCAGCCTGTCCTCACAGCAGAGGTGCTCCATCCCTCTGATCATCTTCGTGGCCCTCCGCTGGACCCGTTCCAGCGGGTCCATGTCCTTCCTGTGCTGAGGACTCCAAAGCTGGACACAGAGCTCCAGGTGGGGTCTCACGAGCACAGAGCAGAGGGGCAGAATCACCTCCCGAGACCTGCTGGCCACACTTCTCCTGATGCAGCCCAGGATGGGGTTGGCTCTCTGGGCTGCCAGCACACACTGCTGGCTCATGTTGAACTTCTCGTCCATAAGCACTCCCAAGTCCTTCTCCTCAGGGCTGCTCTCCAGCCATTCTCCACCCAACCTGGATTTGTGCCTGGGGTTGCCACGTCCCAGGTGCAGGACCCTGCACTTGGCTTGGTTGAACCTCATGCAATTTGCACGAGCCCACCTCTCCAGCCTGTCCAGGTCCCTCTGGATGGCATCCCTTCCCTCCAGCGTGTCAACTGCGCCACCAAGCTTGGTGTCATCAGCAAACTTGCTGAGGGTGCACTCTATCCCACTGTCCATGTCTCCCACAAAGATGTTCAATAGTACTGGTCCCAGTACTGACCCCTGAGGAACACCACTCGTTACTGGCTGCCACCTGGACATTGAGCTGTTGACTGTCACCCTTTGGGTGCGACCATCCAGCCAGCTCCTTATCCACCATAATAATATTTGTGGATGAGCCTAATGTGCTGAAGTCTCTGTAGGAGCAGGCTGCAGGGTGAGGTTGTGGCAGCCGGGACGTACAGACAGAACCCCACAGGCCGTGTCTCTCGCTGGTGCTGCAAGGACAGGACGGAAAGCAGGGCTCGGGGTATTGGGCCAGATTTACAGCCAGAGTAAATGGGGCATGATGCTGAGCTACTCCTGTTGTCTCTGCTTTGCACAAGAGCTTTGTGACTGAGTAATGCTCTTTCCAGCAGGATAAAAGTGTTTATTTGTGCTGTCCGGTTGCAAGACATTAGTTCTCAAAATCAGTGTTTGGACTCTGCAGGGGGCAGGTGAATCCTTCTGCTCATTCAGCCCCAGCCCATGAGACCATAGATGAAATCCTTGAATCCTATCGTGCAGGAATATATAGACAGACAACAATTTTAAAGGCCACTGTATAAATATTTTGTTGAAAATTATCCCTTCTTTGGGTAGGTAGCATAACTAATTTGAGATGTCTTCGGTTTACACCCAAACCCCTTTTTACTACACCATAATGTTATTTCTTTCTAACAGATTTATAGCATCCAGAACTTCATTCAGCTTAAACAAATAAAAATCAGAAATCAAACCTCCATTTCTTCCCTGCTGGGCAGAGCTTTTGCTTCCAGGCAGCGTACCCGAGCTTGGATAGCTTTCTCCATCTCTCTATGCCTTTTCAAATTGTGTAGCTCAAATTGCTTCTCACATTTAAAACTTTACAGAGGATGCTGTAGAAAGAGCATGCATAAATAATGGCCAGTGGTGTAGTTTGATGTGCACTGTTAGCCTCCTAAAATATATATGGAAAACGTGGTCGCTGTTTAGAATGTCTGATTTAAAACATTCATGAGTCTTGTCCCCCGTTGGAAAACAAGCTTTAAATATTATCAGTGACCATTCTGACCAGTTGCAGCTTGAGCAAAGTTTTAATTTTCTCAGATGTCTATAAAGAAGCCACTTGACTGCATATTGACCTTGGACTTTTTAGTCACCCTGGTTACAGAGCTGAGAAAAAGCTTTGGAAACCAAATGCTACACTGGAGTGAGCAAATCTCAGGGATAGACTGGGGAGGAGAGTGGGAGAATAAAACCTTGGCAGTGCAAGCAGATATATTTAGTGGGAAAAAAAAAATGCAGCTTCCTTATGGACTTTGGTTCTGAACAATGTGGGGTTTGATTTAGTTGATCAGCAAAGATAGGACGCAAAACAAAGGCCACTTTGTCATGCTGGAGTTTCAGAAATACACCCGCATCACAATGGCATGCAGTACAGTGTTTCCTATATCTTCTTGGCTCAAACTGAGGTTTGGGTAAGAACAAACGTTGGCAAAAACAGCTTCTTTGCTCAGAGAAGAATAACTTCTGTTGATCAGAGATTTTTAGAGAGATTTTTAATTAGACCGGTGCTGCGAAGGCTGCAGAGTCTAGGGAGTTCAAAACAGATATGCAAAGTACTTTTCAGTTTCTCATATTTTATCATCATTTCAAAGTCAGCGGGGAGCTAAGCCTCAAACTGATGCCATGGTTTAACTCTGTAGAGTTGTTTTGTTCCTGCCAAGTTTGAGTCACTGTGGCCATCTATCCCCTTCTTGAGAGATTAAAATGATGGGAAGCTGGAGTACTTTCTCCAATTAAATGAGCAATTGTTTCTAGTCAAGCATGAATTCAGATTTCCCTGTGCTTTCCTGCAAGCGTGTGGGATGGACGAGACCATTCTTTTTAATCCCACGATGAATAACTGCAGAGCTTGACTAGGAGCGAGTGGCCAAGTCACTGTCAGTCGCCATAGGAGCTAGTTATAGGGTGAGGGTGGCTTTTAGGTGCTACTTGGGTGCAAAGCCTGGTCCAGATTCAGTGATTAAAGCCCTTCAGGACACCTCAAACCACGGGACAAAGAGGCTTGTGCAGGTATATCTCCCTTAGGAGGAGAGGCTGAGGGACTTGGGTCTTTTTAGTCTGGAGAAGAGAAGGCTGAGGGGGGATCTGATCAATGCTTAGAAATACTTCAAGGGAGGGTGTCAAGAGGATGGGGCCGGTCTTTTTTCAGTGGTGCCCAGGAACAGGGCAAGAAGAAATGGGCACAAACTTGAACAGAAGTAGTTCCACCTAACATTGTGCCAGGGGAGGTTTAGATTGGATATTAGGAAAAATTTCTTCACTGAAAGGGTTATCCAGCATTGGAATAGGCTGCCCAGGGAAGTGGTTGAGGCATCATCCCTGGAGGTGTTCAAAAGACGGGTTGACATGGTCATCAGGAATGTGGTTTAGTGACTTTTTATTGATTATTTCTTATTTATTTTTTTGTCAGAGTTAGGTTGATCGTTGGACTGGATGATCTTTAAGGTCCCTTCCAACCTGGAAGATTCTATGATTGTATGAGGAGGAACTTCTTCACCTTGAGGGTGGCAGAGCCCTGGCAGAGGCTGCCCAGGGAGGTGGTGGAGTCTCCTTCTCTGGAGACATTCCAACCCCACCTGGACACGTTCCTGTGGGACCTGCTCTGGGTGGCCCTGCTTTGGCAGGGGGTTGGACTAGATGATCTCCAGAGGTCCCTTCCAACCCCGTGTGGTTCTGTGATTCTGTGGTATCACTGGCAGCCGCTCTCCCAAACCATATTACTCATCCTCCTACCGCCTGGTCTCTTGGCATCAGCCCCAGCAGCAGAGCCATGGGGGAAATGCAAATAGAGTGAAAGGTCTTAGCACCACGAAAACCAAGCAGAGTGCCATGCCAGGCTACTGGAGGAAACACTGGGCTCAGTTTCTGCCCGAGTCGTTCAGGACATGTAGCAGATGTTTGCATAGATAATTTTTGTGCAGTACGTCCACCTGCACAGGAGGTTACAGAGAAAGCAGGATTGTTGCCTGGGTGTCTTAAACCCCTACAGTGGGACCATCCCAGCTGGTGTGGAGGTGCTTACATCTCTTGGAAGAAGGTTTCTGTTTGAACAGATGGGGGGAGGCAGGCCGGGGAGCGCAGCTCACAACTCCGAGTTGCATTTTTTCCTACAGCACTGTGCTTCCCTCATGTGCTCACCCCACTGGCCTACACCAAGTGGCCAAGTGACCTCTCTTGTCCTCAGTTTGTTGACTTGCCAGCATGCTGCCACGCGTGCTCCTTCAGGAGCTTGCACTCACTCTTTGGCTCCGCTGTACTTGGGGGGGTTTAGGTGGAAAAGAAGTGGCTGGGGTGGAAATACATTTCTATATAAGAGAATATCACACAACCTAGGCACCAGTTAAACCCACTTCAGCTATGGAATACCAGTTGGCTTGTGATTTCTAGACACCCAGACATTTTCAGGAGAGTGTTGAAGAAGTCCCATGAAGGTAGGAAAGGATGCAATACACATGGACTTGTTTTTTTCTGGTCAACTTTGAAGTCTGTGGACCTGTGGGCATCTGCTGTCTTAAACTGTGAGAGGAAGCAGAGCATTAGTGATGCACAAACTGGCTCTCTGCAGAGGGACAAATTTTAATTCCTGTTGTATGTGGGAATGTTCATACATCTGAAGGGGCAGGGGTGGGGGTGACAGAAGACATTTGCCTTTACAGCTGTTGGCAGCAAAGAAACACAGCAAAAAAACTTGATTGTTTTACTAACTGCGGTTTTTTTTTTTTCCTTTCTCATTTGTAGGTCTCAGGCTCTGGATACTGGCTGTGGGATTATTTTTTTTTTCAATTACTATTATTTTGGATTGGTTTTTTTTTCCCTTTTTGGATGTGAATTGAATGCCAACAGTTGAAGTATTGGAAGAAAGTGCAGGAGGACGCTCACCTTGTTTTGTTTGAACCCTTGTTTGCTGGGATACTTTCAAGGCCTCCTTCACAGTCATGTGGTCATCACAGCTGCTCTTCTTCACAATGCTCTTAACACCGATAGCCCATGGTGAGTCAGAGATGGTGTCAATTTGCCTGTGGAAAGAGAATGCAGAATAGAAAACAGCAAGGATTTTGCTTAACGTCTTTTACCTAACGGTGTGGTTTTTTTTCCAGGATGTTGATTTCCCCACTTTCACCCCAGGTCTTTGAATTCCCAGGCTACACTATGACTAGTTGGGTCCTGAAACAAAGAATTCAGGTCACGTGTAAAGTTTTCTGTCACTGAGTTTGAGTGCTACGTTAAGGCAGACTTTCTTCCTCATGCCCAAACCTCTTCTGTTGGCTGTGTGTCACCGGGATTCTCTCCTAGCCTCCCCACGGAACTGAATTTCCCTCCTGTGAATGCTGCTCAGTCAGGAGCAGTCCCCCTTCGGCTCCAGCTCCGGGGTGGGATCTCACTTGCCATGATGTTAGATGGTGATTTCAACCACTGCAGTGGATGCTTCTGTGCTCTGCCAAAAGACGGAGGCTCCCATAATCTCAGTGACCCTCGGCCAAGAAGGATGGCACCCAGTCCAGCTGCCTTATCCTGGCAGGAGGTGTAACCCCCCCCCTGGGATGCAGAGCATTTTTATTAGCATTTTTATTAGCCAGGAAAACTTGTGTAAGTGAAATCTGACGTGTTTAATTCTTTGGAGTAACATTTTGGGGGCCTGGGTTTGGTTTTCTTGATACCCAAAAGTATCAAGAAAAACCCAGAGAGAACCCAAAAGTAGGCTCCAGAAGTAAGTTGCCAGATTTGATGAATGCCGAAGGGTTCAGGAGCTCCTGTTTGCAGTGATAGCTGTTCAATGCTCAGGGCAGAGCTTTGGGAAATGCAGCTGCCTGATTTTCCTGATGCCTAAATGGAAGGTGAGCTCCACCAAGGATCTCATTTTAATTCCAGGTCAGTGAGAGCATGTTTGTAAATAACATGACTCCCTGTATGTAGGCTGCGGGCACTTGCTTTTAAAATATGCATCAGACTTTTTTGTGCTTTACACGGACTGTCTACGTGCTGAGACACCAGAGCAAAATTTCACAGCGAAGGAGGCTGAAAAACGAAACACATGCAATTGGCTGAACATATCTATTTATAGAGCACAACCTTGCGTGCGCGTATCACCCGTAACATCTCTGAGCACAAAGGTTATCTGTACTGTCACTCTTCCAGCAAAGCACCTCGCTGGCTGGAAAACTAGAATGAATATTTTAAACTGAGCCAACCAATTGGGGTGGAATGAAGGAGGTATTAGGACAGGTACTCTTTATCCTTCTCCAGGAAAGTTAAATGGTAAATGTTTTGTAAATCTTTATAATTAAACAATATTAACAGTTAAAGCAATTAAAAATTTAAAAATGCCTCTGGCACTTGCATTTTAAATTCGCAATGCCACTGTAGCTGGAAAATCCTGCCTGATAGTCGCAGTAAATGAAAATGTCACCAGTAATCTAGGAGTATTATTATGCTACAGATGAGCAAACACCAGAGATGCAGAAATGCGGTGCCTGGAAATATATCTACCCTTTATGTTCTTCTACCAAGTAAATGTACATGTAGCTATGGGTTTTGCAGCAGTCAGTGGTGGTAAATCTTACCAACGCACGTCTAACCAACACACGTGTTATCTCATCCCCAAAAATCCCTCGTGAAAGTGTGGTAGAGGCTCAGAGTCACCTGTGAGTGGTGGTGAGTGGGTGTTACAGAGTCAGAGGACTTGGTTTGGTTCTGCCCTGTTTTGGTCTGTAAGATTGGCCAGGATGTAGCTACCATGTCAGAACTTCTCCCCGTTACCCTTCTTGGGAGAGCAGCCACCGAGGGTGTGCTGGTTGTTGGAGGGTGGTATGTTCCTAGGATGCAATAAAGGGAGAAGACTGCAGTTCAGCTGCATGATGGTGATGTTCCCTGAGTATGTTTGGGATTTGCTAGCAATGGGCAGTCAAACCTGTCCAGTCTGCCACAGGGGCTGAAGGACAGGTACGTAAAAATCAAGAGTTGTATCAAAGGTCAGAATAAATAGTCTGATGGGACTTCCAAGGTTTTGATATCCCAGACTGAATATCTGCTGGCTTTCAGGAGCTCTCCCTTGCTGCCCCTCTACCTGCAGGTGCCTACAAAAGGTTGCCTGAAGTGAATGGCAAGTCAGTGTCAATGCAGGGGTCCCTGCTGGCCTGAAGACAGTCTCTGTGTGGTCAGAGAGGGGCCATAACTTCACCTTGCATATAAACATAGTCCACTGAAGCCCTGCTTTCCTCCCCCGGCCTTTTAATAACCCCCTTCTACTGCATGCAGAAAGCTTTCATATGTTGTGTTACACAGGACTCGAGCATCTGGGTTCCTGTTTTATGGGCTGGGATGGCTTCTGTCCTGCAGTCACTCCCAGAGTTGATAGGAACTACTTCTACAGACTGACCTTGCTGCATTTCATTCCCTTTTCGAGTTTTCTGACACAGTCCCTTCAGCTGTACCGGTAGCTACATTACAGACAGATTTCTTAGGCCAGTGATCTCATAAATTTGTTGGGGTTTTTTGTTGTTGTTTTGGTATTTTTGTGGTTTTTTTGAAGGTGCTTTTTTTTTTTTTTTTTTTCTTTAGCTATCTCATTTCTTGGAGTATATTGTGTGTCTTGGGTTGTGATGACAGGTGCAGAGTCAACGGGAGTATGACTTCAGTGATCTGCAAGATGAAAAGTAATCTTCCAGGATACTGCCCTGGTACAATGACATCTTGTTGATAAGTTATAGAAATAATGAAAGGGGGGAAAAGTCATGAATCCTTGCAGTTTCTTGGTGATGGTGCTAATCTGCTGTATCCTAAACACACAGGAACTGTACTGTCTCGTTTTGCTTGGACTGCTCTGAATCGTAGCTCTCAAAAACCTGAGAGCATGTGAAATACTTGAGATAATAGCAGATTGGAGTAGTGGATGTTTTCTTTACTGTTGCCCTTCACTTGAATGGAAAATAGCTTACAGCTTGCATAGACAGCACAACTCGGACCAGTGTGGGAACCCCCTCTTCCAAGCTCTGGAAAAGCATCTTTTGGATAAAACTAAGCCTGTTACATGAATTTAGTGAATTAGCCGAGTTAGAAAGCAACAATACCAGGGAATAAAAATTCTTAATTATTATAATATTCCTATTATTATTTATCATCATTATTATTATAGTAAAATAATAATAAAGATAAAAGAATAAATCAGCAACCACAACAAAAACTAAGGCTTTGCTGTTCTTTGCAGGAGTTCTGCTGCGGACAGGGCTTTTTCCTTTTTGCCCCTGTTTGGAAGCTTTTCCCCAAAACATCTGAAGGCCTAGAGCTCCAGGGAGGTGCTCCTTGGCTTGTCGCGTGGCTGCCAGGCTCATGTGTGGCTGAGAGCTGAGATTTAAAACTTCCAGACTGCTGAACAAAACTTACAATGCAAATATTAGGATTCAGAATTGTGTGCTGTTCAGAGCAGGATAAGGAAGGAAACCATAGTGATCGCTGCAGGGTGAAATTCTGGCTGTCTCCAAACGAGTGATTTATTTTAGGCTTTGGAAAGGAGTGAAAAGGTTGAATGCCAAGATCTTTATCATCCCACTAGATTGTTTTATTATTATTTAATAGAGATCCTTTTCTAAAAAAAGATTGTGTTGTGTGCATAATTTTATGACGAGCAGTAAAGAATGATTATTTTGTTGTTACTCTAAGTCTTTAATAGCCTAATCCAGAGTAGGACAAACACTTCTAATTACTCAGATTAAAGCAATAATCCCAGTGGCACAGTTTCTGTTGGAGATGGTTACAAATGCAATGAAATCATATCATATGAAGAGCGACTGAAGGAGCTGGGACTGTAGTTTGAGGAAGAGGAGGCTGAGGGGAGACCTCATCACTCTCTACAACTACTTGAAAGGACACTGTAGAGAGGTTGGTGCTGGTCTCTTCTCCCAGGTAATTAATGACAGAACAAGAGGAAATGGCTTCAAGCTCCAACAGGGTAGGTGTAGACTGAACATTAGGAAGGAATTTTACACAGAGAGAAATTGGAATTTCATTGGAACAGGCTGCCCAGGGAGGTGGTTGAGTCACCATCTCTGGATGTGTTTAAGGGCCGTTTAGATGGGGTACTGAGGGACATGGTGTAGGGGAGGACTTTGTAGAGTAGGGGAGATGGTTGGACTCGATGATCCCAAGGGTCTCTTCCAACCTGAATGATTCTATGATTCTATGAAATGAGGTGGCACTGTGATCTTACTTTGGTTTCTTAATCTTTTTCTCCATATACAATGTGGCTTTTGGGCTGGAACTACTCGCTTACCCAAAGATAGGCAAGATCGAAGCCAGAACAAGTTAGGCAATAAAATAACCAAACCTGCCTGAAGTTACAGGACAAACAGTAGGTATCTGACATTAAAATAGTGTTGCTATAACAGCTAGAACGGGCTGGATGAGAGCCATCTGATCCTAGAGCAAGCTGCAGGTGCAGCAAAAGTTTCTTAAATACCCTTGGCTATGGAGCTAAATTTAAGCTAAAATAGATTCTAGTTCTGACAAAGCCTGACAAGGCCTTGGAGCCCAGTATTGCTGTGAATCACAGAATCACAGAATCTTAGTGGTTGGAAGGGACTTCCGAGATCATCGAGTCCAACCACATAAAAAAAAACCCAAAAAAAACCAAACCCACCACAAAAACAACAAACCCAAAACCACCACCCACCAACTAAACCCCACACCCACAACCCCACACACTACACCCCACCACAAACCAATCATCTTGGGCACTAGAGCATGCCCTGAAGAGCCATGTCTACACGTTTCTTAAATACCTCCAGGGATGGCGACTCCACCACCTCCCTGGGCAGGCTGTTCCAGGGCCTGACCACTCTTCCAGCAAAGTCATTCTTCCTAATATCTAATTTCAATATCTAATCTGAATCTCCCTTGCCGCAGCGTCATACCATTTCCTCTGGTCCTGTTATTATTCCCTTGGGAGAAGAGGCCAACCCCCACCTCTCTACACCCTCCTCTCAGGGAGTTGTAGA